AATTTTGGATATTTAAGCATGTAGACTATAGTCCATGTTTTTTTCTGTAAATGACTACAAAATGACCCCAAGTTTTTATTACATTTATTGATACATCTTGATGTCCTTTTGCTATGTAGAAAGTTTGAGCTGTTAAACTTTTCGAATTATGAGCATTTTTGAAAACAGTCAAATTGTGAAGAAAATTATGGACTAGTGCCATAATTTTTCTGAAAAATGTCCCCCAAATTACCCCCAATTTTATTACAATGTCTAATGCCCTCCCTACATTAGATTGATGATGCTGTTATTGTCAAATTAGATGAAGACGTTGTCCTTGTTCCCTGAGCTACCTGAGGCTGACAGGATTAGATTCAAAACACAGTTAGCCACAAATGCACCATTCAAACACACACAAACTGTATTAATGTATGTACATGTACATGTACATGTACCTCCAAGTACTAGCACATAAATTTATGTGGACATTGTACTACAAGCAATCTAATTTTTTATTTACAAAACTTTTATTGGGTATTCTATTCTGTGCATGTTCTGCAGTATTTAATTTCATTATTCTTAGGTATCAAGAAATATTAGTGGGTGATTATGAGGTTGACAGCCTTGAGAGGTAAAATAATAATAATAATAATAATAATAATAATAATAATAATAATAATAATAATAATAATAACCTATTCTATTTTATATTTTTACTTTTGTTGTCTGTTCTATAATTTTAAAAAAAGATAATAATAATAATAATAATAATAATAATAATAATAATAATAATAATAATAATAATAATTGTGTATTATTGTTCAATATTAGGTTGGTATTACCATCTTCTATTGAGAGGGAAAGGAGGAAGAGTAATTTTGAACATTATAAGGATACCACACTCTCAGCCTGTGAGTACATGTACATGTATGCATGTATACATTATTGGTTTTAATTTACATGTAGTGTTTCTGGAGCTAATGGTTAGAGTTTTTGAGTAAGTTACGTAGGATGATAAAGATAATTGAAGAACCACTCCAGGGTAGGATAGGTTTACTGAGGGTAATAGCCATGTTTACTGGGTCATTCTTTCTCTTCTTTCTTCCTGTCTTTTATTCTCTCTCTCTCTTTTCTCCTTTTATTCAATGAAGTCTGGTTTATATGATGTCCTCCCTACTACTATTGGAAGGTTTGGCTCCTGAGGATTTGAGGCTTTTGCTCTGTGGGTGTCAGCAGGTTGAACTTGATGTACTCAAATAGATAACAACTTTCACCGACGAGACTCGTAAGTGAAAATAATACAAATGATCTAAATAGTTATTTTTATTAAGTAATGTTTGGTATTTTAATGAATGAATGTATACACATGTACATGTATAGTACATGTACATGTACAAATGTACAGATGTGCATTTGTCTGTTTTCTATACATGCACTTGTGACCTAGCTTAAATGTAATTTAATTATTGGATTCAGAAAGGCACTTCATTTATCACTAGTAAATGTGCATGTTTATGTTGTGTAGAAAATTTGAGCTCATTCCAATCAAAATTAGATTTTTTGACATTGTAGGTAGATGTATTCAGAAGATATTGAAAGTGTGGCCACAGACCAGTGTCCCACCCCCTCAGATTCACTACTTGATGTTATCACCAATCCCAGTACAGATTGGACTCAATAGGTCAATGGAAATGAAAGAGAGGGACAGAATGGGGACATCAAATTCAGTGAGTAGTGAACAATATCCATGTACGTGTACATGTACTTTTTGCTTTACATGTACAGTGTACAGTACAGTATGTATAGCAATGCATCTATAGATAAGGAACTCTCCCATTTGAGAGAGACTGTGTTGTACATGTACAGTATGTACATGTAATTATTGTGTATTAAATCTCATGAATTATTTTCTTGTTATTCTCAAGAGTCCAGATAATGGGATTTTTTATCATCAGTGTTATTTTTTATCTCAGTTTAACATACATGTACATCATGTACAGTGTATGTACATGTGTATCAATTTTTTTTGCATTCATCATGT